TGACACATCGGGTGCATGACGGATCTTCTATAACGACTTGTAGATATTTTGCACTTGCCGTATCTCATCTGCTTCTGCTTGCAAATATCATGTAGTATGTATTATGAGTATTCTACAACCCCTTGGATATTTGTACTTCACTACGTAATCTGTCCTTGCTTATAGAGGGCCGGTGTATTTGACTAATGTTGGATAATTGTCGACCATTGAGGTGTTATAGTATCTTCGCCACAATAATTGGTAGATACCTCGAATGTGCAAGGAAATGCTGCCTTTTCCACCATTCTTCATGTACTTGATTGTAAACATGTTGAGCTTATGACGGTGGTTGATTGCAGGGGTGATGTAGCGTCAACCACAAATTTCCCATGTTATGAGAGGCAGCTCGCATCCCATTCGTCATAACTCCCATGGATCAATGAGGATTTCTGCATTATAACTTGTAAGTGTATTGTCACCTTCCTTGCAACTCTTATCCAGCATTGCAAGTGAACTATCAAAGTCCAAAGCACTCACATCATAGCTTTGAAACCAAGTCATGCCCTTCACGATCATCTTGTTGCTTGCAAATAAGTTATACTTACAAGTTCTTTGCTCTTAAAATGATTTACAATACGCATGGCGAGCTTAGTATTATTGTTCATTGATTATGCATATGTATCTCCATCTTCCTTATTACTTGTGAATGAGATGTAGTAGGGACTCTCCTTGTCCACCATATATCTTTATCTGCTCATCTATATCCGCTTGAATAATCAAGATTTGGTTATCGAGCCTTTATATTTTGATTGTTCATTTGTTAGAATCAAAATTTGGCTCAACTCAGATACTTCATTCATATCCAAATTCTTTAGAGTTCATGTTGTTCAAGTCTCTTGTGATCATATTCAAGTTCACTTCATTTAGTGTCAAATTAGTTCGAGTCCAAGTACGAGTCCAAGTTCTTGTCCATTGTTCATTTGAGCTCAACATAGGTTCTCTTCAAGTATTCGTTGTAGTTCATTTGCAAATTCAAATTCTTACTCAAAATCTTTTGTATTTTGTTTGGTTCAAGTTCTTTGCTTAGTTTCTTTGAGTTCAAGTTCACAAGTCATGTTGTCATTAGGGTTCAATCAGGTCCAAGTGCAATCTTTCATTCACCTGAAATTTCGGCAGCCTCCCGGAGTTTCCCTCGTTTAGGGGAAAACTACATGAAACTATGCCTTCCCACCACGCAAAGAAAAACGTGTATTGTAGGTGTCCTCGGACGAGGACACCGCGACCGTATTTTTTGTCCCCCACCACGCTAAGAAAAGCGTGTATGGGTCTTCGGTACATGTTGCAAAAGAAAAATAGTTGTTTCCCAGCAAGCGGGTACTTATGGGTATCCCCACTTCGTCGTACGTATCGCACCGAGTTCTCATCCCACCACGCTAAGAAAAACGTATATAGGCGGTTTTTCGGTGTGCCACGAACACCAGAGAAGGGATTTTGGGTGATTTTCCGCTTCGTTGCAAGCATCACGACGAACTTCCTCCCATCACGCTAAGAAAAGCATGTATATGTGATTGCTTTCTCACGTTGCAAGCATCGAAGGTGGGTTCTCAGGGTTTTAAGGTTTAGAGGGATTATACCTGCGCGAGGTCGGCAAGTAGATCGAGGCAAGGGAAAATACATTTCTTTATCTTTTTTTTCTTATCATTCATTTCCTTTTAATTAATATAACTAAATAAATTTAAATATAATTAATTATGATTAATAGTAATTAATTATTTTCTCTCTCTCTCTCTCTCTCTCTCTCTCTCTCTCTCTCTCTCTCTCTCTCTCTCTCCTCTTCGTGGACCGGGTAGTCGGACGGAGTTGGAGAGGGTTTCCGGCTAGGGTGTGGAGGTTTTGTTTTGAAGAGATGGAGATGTAGAGGGGCGGTTGGATTTGGTTTCGGGAGGAGTTGGCGTCGGGATCTCAGACGAAGTGGATGGTCGAATGCAGGCGACGGGTCGGGGCTAGGTCGCAAGAGGACTGGTGACTTCGGTTTGGTGGTTTGGAGGTCGATTTCAAGAAAGAGAGGTGGAGTTTGGGTCGGATGATTGGAGCTCACGAGAGGGAAGGAGTGACGAAGAGAGGGGCTCGGAGCTTTCGCGTGCGTGGACGAGAGAGCAGCGATTGAGTTGGGGCCTCCCTCTCCTTTTAACGACGCCAAGGAACAGGTGGTCGCGGATTTTGCGTAGGAATTGCGAAGAAGCGACTGAAGCGGCGCCGATTCAGTGGGATATCGGCAGAATTCGTGGATCCGACGAGCACAAGGTATGTACGCGGGATTCATGGCTTCTTCCCCTTTTTTGTGTTGTTTATACAAAGGTTAACAAAAAAACAAGCCAAATGGAATGAAGGCCAATGATTTCTATGATACCCATATTTTTTACTATAAAGCTAAAACAATTTCAAATTGGCTATGAGAACCTTCACATAAAATCATTATCGCAAATTCATCAACCAAACAAAATAAAAAGCGCAAAGCCTGGCCAGTCAAAGAAAATCCAGTAAAATAATGTTAGTCTATGGCATGTTAAGTTTGATCTAATTTAGATTAAAAAAACAAAGATGTGTGATTCATGAATATGTGTTGTTTATGTGAATTGCATTTAAAAAATCATAAAATATTATTATTTTTTCAAGCTAAACTTGTCTTATGGTATAACCATATCATGCCAAGCAATCATAGTATCTTAATTGTTTTATATTACACATAGATTCGATAATATAGAACTATACAACCACTCATATTTAGTTGGATTTTAAGATTTGATTTCTTTAGGAGGAAGCGAATGTTATGTAGGAAAAAAAACTTGTGAGATTAAAAATGTTGCAAAGTGTACGCTTAGAGAATAAGCTCTTAGTATTAGAAAAAGTTAGTGATTGAATCAAAATGTGCAAAAAAAAAGATAAAATATAAAAACTTTGTTATGAAAATTGATTTAAATGTAAAAGTTTGAAAAATTAGGATAGATGGAGGGGCTAAAGGGAGTCTAAGAAAACAATATATAATGCAAAGAATTTAGCTTTTAGCAATTTATATAATAGAATAAATACCAATGAGGGTGAAAAATATATGCATGAGTTAGTCAAGCAAAGAAATACGAAAAGTAAGGATTTAGTTTAAGTAAAGTGTATTAAGAATAAAGATCATAAAGTGTTTTTCTTATAACAGAACATTCAACACAAGTGGATGAGATATTTCGATAAACTTTTCAATGGATGATGTGAGAATACAATTGACTTTAATGACCTTAGCACCCTATAAGAAAATAGATTTTTTTTTGTTTTACAGTCGTCTTAGTTAAACTAAAGTTAGAGATGCTTCAAAGAAAATGAAGTGTGAAAAAAATAGTTATACCTAATGATATTCCAAGAAAGGTGTTAAAATGTTTAGAAGATGAATGAATTTCTTGCCTTACTAGGCTTTTTAATGTTATTTTGTAGACTAAAAAGATGTCATATGAGTGGAGTAGTGTTTGGTTCATATTTTTAAGAACAAAGATGATGTAGAAGAATGTACGAATTATAACAGAATTAAGTTAAAGTGTCATATATTAAAACTATAGGAGAGAGTAATTGAGCATATGTTACGACATCATACTAATGTTTCTCAAAATCACTTTGAATTTATACCGAGTATGTCTACTATGGAAGCTATACATTTATTGAGAGGTTTGATGGAAAATTTTAGAGAGAATAAGGAGGATCTACATATGACATTTATTGATTTAGAGACAGCATCTGATAAAGTTCCAAGAAAAGTGCTCTGGAGAGTTATAGAAAAGAAAGAAGTTAATAATGTGTGTATTCAAGGATATGTATGTAGGAGTTGTTACTTGTGTTCAAACACAAGGCAGTTTGACCAAATATTTTCCTATTTTAGTTGGATTACATCAAGAATTAGCTTTAAGCTCAAATGTTTTTGCTTTAATCACGGATATTCTTACTAGACATTTGCAAGAGGATGTACCCTGGTGGATGCTTTTTGCTGATGATATTCTTCTTAATGATACAACTAGAGAGGGAGTTGATAAAAAAACTTTAAATATGGAGGAAAACCTTAGAGACTAAAGGTTTTCATTTTAGTAGATCTAAAATCGAATATATTAAGTAATTTTAGATCTAAAAGTCAAATTGTGACATTAGATGATCAAATCATTAAAAAGAGTACATGTTTTAGATATCTGGGGTCTATTGTTCAAAGCAATGGTGAAATAGATGGGGATATTATTAGTAGAATTCAAGTTGGATGGTCGAAGTAGAGGAATGTTTTAGGCCTATTATGTGATAAAAAAGTAATCCTCAAACTTAATGAAATTTTTTATAAGATGGTGGTGAGACCAATGCTTTATGGTGCAAAACATTGGCCATTAAAAGAAAATCATAAAATTAAGTTAAGTGTTACAGAGATGAGGATGCTCAAGTGGATGAGTGGTTTTACACTAACAGACAAAATGCAAAATGTGTATATACGTGAAAAGGTTACAGTAGCTCAGGTAGCATATAAGATTAAAGAGAGTCGCCTTAGATGGTTTGCTAACATAAAGCATCGACCTTCCAATGACCTAGTTAGGAGACTAAATGAATTAAATTTGGCCTATATTAAGAAAGGTAGAGGTGGACCTAAAAAGACTTAGTTATAAAGTATTAGAAATGACTTTTTTTTATTAAATTTAATTGAGAATTTGACTCTAAATAGAACACAATGGCAAAAAAAAAAAGATTCATGTAGCCGACCTCATGCAGTGGGATAAAGATTTGTGTTGTTGTAGCATTGTAAAATTACACATACCAAAAATCAACATTATTATTGAGCACATTAAACAACACTTAAAATGTTGGAACAAAATTCTGGCAAATGTTGTGTTAGCCATCTGTATGAACTATAACTGAATAGTTTTGTTTTCTATAAAAGCAGAAAACAGATATAGAATGAATTCTAATAGATTTTAATCACAGGAAATACAGTGGTTCTTAAACCTTACTTCAGAATGACAAGAACTGGATACAATATCTCCAAAGACGTGATAAGTATATGTAGAGAAACGACCACCTGCAAAGTTTAAGAAAAACAGTAGAATACATTATATCAGTTTTGTAAAAATTCCATTAAAAAATAATAAAAAAGCTAGCTGATACAGCATAGCCTATTAATCATGCCAATTCAACTGCAAAAATTCACTTATCCACAACTTCGTTATAAGGAATCAAAACAGGCCACAACAAAGAGGAATTGGACTCATTTTCATGCCTTTTTAGTGCTATCTAAGTTTTTGGCAAAATTTAGATGATTTTTTATTTCAATTATTAGGTTTTATCAGAGGGGGATTAATTCTTCAAGTCATTGGGAGAACCTCTATTTTATAAATAAAGGAGCGAGTATGAGGAAAATTTTAATAGGCATATGCAGCACGATATATTTAGCTAAATTCCAATCTGGATATTTTACTACGCTAACATTCCTCTCAATGTCAAGCACATATAGCATTTACATTGGACTAGTTAAAAAGAAAGGAATAGTAAACAGGTCCAAGAGCCTTGATAAAGCTATCATACAATTATGACTCGGTGAAAACATGTAGAGTGATGAACTAGGACAACATCCCTGACAAAGTGACGATCAACTTTGATTTGTTCAGTTATTTTATGTAAGATAGGACGCTAGAAAAGTAGAGTTCAACTCAATTATCATAGTTTATGGTCAAAAGTTAAGTGAACAGGAAAACCAAATTCTTTTAGAGTTTTAATCTGCAGGAAAAATGAATCACGAACATGTGTTATGCTTCAGCATTAGACCAAACCAAAATTGTTTATATCTTACTTCGCCAAGACAAGAATGACACTAGCAAAAAATAGTATCCAAAAGTTTACTTCTTATCTTTAATACACCCAGCATAATCAACATCTGAATAGGTTATAATTCTTCTATGATTTTTTTCTCGAATAAAAAAGCCATTTTTAGAGGGACTTCTTGTTAAAGTTTAAAATTCTCAAGATAGCTTACCAACGTTTTTTCCTTTGATTTTGCATTGTTAACTAAACACACCAACAAAAAACAGACATCATGCCTAGTAACGAGTAAATAATCAGCTAACCAATCAGCACCAAAAGCAAGAAACATCTTCAAAGATTTCTTAATTCACAAATATTTGCAGATTGTCCATAAGAGAGTTGGCAAGTTTACACCTAATAAAATCATTTTTTCAAGAGATTTTGTGGCATGTTGTATTGTATTTGAAAGAGAAACATCTTTGTTATATGAATAGAATGCTAATCAAGAATTTTTGGCACACCATATCTTTAGTGAAAAATATCATTTTAAGATATTTATTTCAATAATGTGAAAAACATCGCTTTCAATTAATAGAATGCCATCAACATACCCAAAAAAAAAAACACAGTGCTAGAGAAAAATGTCATTGAAGATAAAACTATCAGCAATACTAGTCCGTAGTCCGATACAAGCGATGACATGCCAAAGTTTGTCAAACTAAACTCAACAAGAACTTGTTTCAATCCGTATATAGCTTTTTAAAACTTCTCTTATTTTGTTCTCCCCATGAGCAATAAACCCTAAAGGTTTCTCCACATAAACAACTTTAGTGAGGTCCCCATACAGAAAATAAATAATGACATCCATTTAGAGCATATGCCAACATAGTTAATAGTAATAAAGAAAACAATCCAAAAAAATTAAACCAATTAATTGAGGTGAGAGTGGCACACCCTATTTTGACTCCCTCCAGTCAACATAAGAGCGAACAATCTGATTAGATATATTTCTCACAAACACTCAATCTATTTTCTAATCATAATAAAATGACTGAAAATTAATCTGGCTCAATCGCAACAAAAAAATCTATATTACACTTTGCAATTATCTTATAGATCTAGCAAAAGCAATGATATGAAAGCATGCATAAATAAAGTAATAGCTTCAAAATAAACTTTAAATACAAATAAATTTATATGTATCAAAAGTCATCCACATCTTAAACATTTTGTTTAATAATATATCTAAAAACTATACATCCAATAAGGATATAATATAGCACAAAAAAGTCACATATATATGGCCCCAACTGCTCCATCCCCTTGCCTGAAAGCCACATTTATGCCATCTGATGAGCTAGATGCTCACTGGAACAAAAAAAATTTAATATAGTTTAAACATACAAAAAAAATATAACATGTTGTAATGATCATATAAATTAATATGAGTATTGATCTTCACAAACAAAACTAGCTTAGTGCAAAACTTTTAGTCAAAACATGCATAAATGATTTGATAGAATAAAATATTTGATTATAATAAATAAACGTGAATATCTATAAAACAGTGAAAGTACATGTATTAAATCATTTAATACACCATGTTAGTCAATTGTTAGAATGAAATTTACTTGCTTTGCTTGCATTTTGTTTCAATTTATACTCATCATTCTCTTAATAATTTCAGATAATGTTTGTATACAATTTTGGCTCATTTATATCATTTGATTATCCATTAGCCCATCGTATCCTAACCATTAATAATGTTTAGTCAACCCAATATTGCAGTCATCAACAACTTCTCAATTCAAACATGAAACATTCCTTTTTTTTAAATCGAGGGCCAATTTTCCTACTGAGGCTCATCTCGTAAAAAATTTTACCTCTCCTATGCATGTTAACATAATTTACCAACATATTCTCCATAATATTACATTTTATAAGATTTCTTTATTTTTAACTTCATTACACAAGCATTTATAATTACGCAACATTTTTATGCACATGTTGACATCAACTTGTATCATAATGCACCCAAAATATGTCATAATATATAAAATTTTACATTTAAATACTTAAATACATAATAATTTATTAATAAATTAAAATAAAAAAAGTTGCATTCTAAGAGCATAGCATGAATTTATCTAAAGCCACTAATCAAAAAAGACCATTTTTTTAAATGCGAACTCACAAAGTTGCCCCGCCTATACGGCAACTCATAAAACTAATCTACGAATCTGATCATCTACTAATACACTGTTAAAGTAGACAAGATTCAAAGTAATGAAAATAAATCATCTACATACCTCGATGGCCATGTAAAAAGAAAATATCAACCAAAGAGAACTCTATTTTCAAAATACCCCGAAAGCTTTAAGAAAAATCATCTGGAATGCAAATCCCAATGAAAATTACAAGTCCAAAATCATCATGAAATCTATTACATTCAAAAGAGATCTACTATTTGGAATAAAAAGCAATAAACATTCGTCAATCGCAACCATTTGTAGAAGATAATAAATTTAAGAATAACCTCAATGCACAAATAGCCAATATCTTGAGGAGTGTATCACAACATTAACTCTCAAAAAATCACTCACCAATAAAGAAGTGGCACATATCTTCTAATAAATGGATTTGCCGCCAAATAGCATTAAAAGTAAATAGTTATGATCGGGGACCCTCTAATCAGATAGTTACCCGCAAAATGAAACCATTAAATTACGGGCCTCAAACCCGAATGTTTCTCAACAATTCAAAATCCCCTAGATAGTGAATTATGAAATATACACGATAGGGAAAAAACCCCTCTATTAGCTAAGGTTGCCTAAGAAATATTCACTCAAACAAACATTTACCTTAGATCTACAAAGCTCCCTTGAACAACTCAACTAATAACTAACGATAAGGATCCTTCAATTATGTTGAGTTGACTACTTCTATCGACTAAGTAAACTAGGATTTATGAGAATAAAGGAAGATAAAAACATAGGATCTTAATCGAATTCGACATCATTTCCCTCATCATCCATTTTAAGTTAATAGAGGTAAATTTATCAATCTTAAGCCAAATTTAATGTTACTGTACACTAAGCATAGGATCTATCAACTAGTCTTAATTGAAAAATCTCCTTGAGGGATAATTAAATATAGAGGTTTGCGCCTATATGAATCTTGGAACCAGGTTATAAGGTTCTCGCAAAAAAGATGACGATATCTCTCCGTAGTTCTTATCTGCAAATCTAATGTCTTCTAAAAAATTAATCCGGAATACCAAACTCTTTAAGAAGAGTCAAGCGTGACTTTTCGAAGACCACAATAACAGTTTAATTAAATGATTTTTTTTTCATGATCATTTGATTTAGTTATGATTTAGTTTTTTTTATTAACGATCAAGATGAATGTTATCAAGCTAGAGATGAGTCTTCTTTATAAACTTTGTATTTGTTTTATTTTAAGATTAATACAGTCATAGAAAAATGTATAAATAGTCTTAATAAAAAAATGTATAAAGAGTCTTAATAGAAAAATGTATAAAGAGTCTTAATAGAAAAATGTATAAAGAGTCTTAACGATACAATCCTCATTAGCAAATGCCAAAATCCTAAAAAATGTGATGCTTTCTCCTCCTTCGTAGTGATAGCAGTTTGAGGCTGGTAAAACTTTTCACTTTGTGCAATTCCATGAACAATGCCCCTTCCTACAGCAACTGACCTTCTTCCATCATCACTATGCATTGCAAATTTTCAATCTTGTGTGGAGTAATTTAAATGTAAAAATGAAGGAAAAAAGTTACACCTCATGCCAATAACTAAGCATCCAAAAAAAAACACAAAATTTAAGAAGGCAATTCAATGCTTTTGCTAGTAGTAATTGTGCATTTAACATCAACGATTCACTTCTTACAGGTTCAGATATAAGCTTCCTCCATGCAAGCTTTTCAATCAGAAAAGCAGCAATAGGAAAAGCAGGTAAAGTAAGCCTGCAAATTTCAGAAAATTAAATAAAGGGTTAAACTCATGTCAGAAATTCTGGTATAAGTTACATCACATTGATAGAACAAAGAGATGGAATTAGATAGGAATTACCAGCACACGAACAGGGGCCAATCTTTCAAAGACTTTGAACTAAACCAAAATCCAGATCTTATCAGTAAGCCATACTGCAAAGGAAATTAGGGCATACATGTTATATAAAGCACAACCCGCTCAGTATGCAATTTAAATACATAAAGCAAGGTCGCCAATTTAAAACAAGAAGCCCAATTTCTAGGCTTAGATAAAAAGAATATGTCAAACCTTCATCAAGTTCTCAATAGTTAGCCTGCTATTTACCGCAATGAGAACAACTATGCAAAGATTGAAAAGACCTGCATGGCTCTGACAGGAAAAGTTCCAATTAGAGCAAAAGAAAGTTTCATTCCTGAAATCAATGATGACCAAAAATGACAGTAATAGGTTTATTTAAGTAAATAAATGCTAAAATAACAAGAACAATCAGCTTTGATTCATGCACATCCTTTTTGCAGCTATAATTTGCAACAAAAAAAAGGTCGCCCGTCACTATTTCAATCATCAAAATTGCTAGAATTAACTGAAACCTCAAATTGTAGCAGCTGTCCTTGTCACGAAGCACAAAAATTTATACCTAATGGACTGCCTAATAGTTTTCAGATCTCACATCTACGAAGTCAATGTAATACATTTTCTCATGTGTCATCTTACATAACTAATGTAATACATTTTCTCATGTGTCATCTTACATAACTAATTTTGTATGCACGTGAATCAAATGCAAATGCACGTTAATTTTGATAATTTTATGTGAATTAATGACATAGTTAGCACCAATAGATACTGATTTTTCTCAAAATCTTTGTTAGATAAGATAAATTGATAATGAACATATGGCAATGATCTTGATTAAGTAATGGACAAGCAACATATATGACGTTTAAAAGTTAAAAATAACATGAAAGATTAATATAAATAAGATAACAATGAAAGAGATGAAATACAATTGAGATGAGGCCCTTCTTGTTGCGATTGAACTCGAATATTTTATGACGACTAATTAAGTGAATCTGGAATATTGATGATGATCGGAATGTGTTCTTTCCAGGATGGCAGAAAGCAACCTCTTAAGGATTTGTGAAGTATGGAGACAATATTTGCTGAGACCATGGGGTGATAGCTAAGAGTTTGATGATATGTAGAGCGAAGTGTGGAGGCCAGAGGTGACGAGCACGTGAAGGGGTTTGATATGAATGTGAAAACTGAGAAGAATAATAAATTAGGGTTTTAGGTGAAGATAAAATGATAACTTGAAGAATGATTTTATACTTTTGTTTATAAGGAGAGGGTGAAAGATGGAAAAACATCAGTAAAAATAAAGTAGAGATGAATTTGGTAGACAGTCATCCATGATGAACCTTAAGCTAACATGGCCATGGAAACATAAAAAAATTCATGAATGTTTGTCCCCCCGTCAATGGTGGAATAGGGCGCCATCAGCTACTTCAAAGTGAGAATATGAATTTAGAAACATGGAAGTCGCCAAGCCTTCATAAGATTGTCCACGACCAAGTTGAGGGGCTAAGAGGCCAAATTCGAACAAACACAGTCAAACGCTTCATTTCCATTCATTTCCTTCAATTTAAAAAAAATAATAAGAAGTCCCATATTGATTGCAAAGTACCAAATTCAAAATTAAATTACAAAATTCAAACTCTAATTAAGTAGGAAAAGAGGGAGTAAGTTTGCATTTAAAAGAGGGCTTGGATGGAGGCACGCCTTCATTTAAATTTTCATTTGGCGCTAGTGTGTGACGCTTGATCTTGGACTTGAAATCACTACTGGAATGTGCATAAGGAGGCACCTTTTGGCTTGCTTGGAATCTCTTAGCTTGATTTTGCATGGGAAGTCAGCCACATTAATGCAGCATGATGTTGATCAACTAGTTCAATCAACATCCCACCAACTTATAACAAGTAACTTAATTAACTTCTGAATTATAAAGAAAGGTTTAAAGTAGCGTAAATAAGCCTCGAGGCGTTTTTCGTCCATGAGGCGAGGCATAAGCCTCGAGGTGGTGTGAGGCGAAGCCTCAAAGACGAAGAATTGCGTAAATGAGAATTTAAGTATTCTAGCATGTAAATAACAGTAAGAGGCTATCATATAATAAAAACATCTAAATGAGAAGTGAACTTAATGGAAAACAATAAAATAGATGCAATATATGCATCTCATAGCATAATTCAAAGTACAAAACCAAAATATAAGTCTATCAAAACTCTCAAAGTACAAATAAGAAAGAACATTTAAAATCCAATCATGTCTCATCACTAAATGGGTATTCAAGGGAGGCTACGAATGTCAAATCTTCATCATCTTCAATGTTACCCACTTTTCTCTTTCTTATTCAATAAGAATGATTAGTATGTTGTTAATTGCATATAATTTAAATGTAATAGCACATAAGAAATTGTGAGATACCTTTGTTTGCTTATCGTACTGCAGTACTAGTGGATGTGTGTGGTGTGGTACTAGTGGATGTGCCCGCTTGATCTGCTTCTCCCCTCAAGACATCCACACTTAGATCATTTAACTGCATGTCTAATAATGGCAAATCTGTCTCATCATCTATGAACCAGTCATTATTAAACGTCATATCATCAAACGTCACATCATCATCCTTCAACCCTTTGTTCCTCAACCTCTTGTTGTGCATAATATATACAAGGAAGTTCATTCTGAGTGTTGCAAGTCAATTTCTTCTTTTCGTTTGCACTTGACTATATGTGCACGAGTTTTCTTCACACCCAAAGGAAGAACAAGTGAGGCCCAAAACTCTAACTACAAAATTCTGTAACTCAGGGGTGGAATCACCAAATTGGATCCACCATTCAACTATTTTCAAGAAAACAAACGATAATCATAACATATTAAAGTGTTATGTATGTACGGTTACTTTGCAAAAAATAAGCTTACCTGGAGAGCGTTTGGCAATAGTAGATTTTGCTGCTTACAAACCAAAAAATTCCTCCCTATTCCAAAATAGAACAAGTTCTAAATCTACAAGCCTCCTAACGATCTGGTTCGGTATCAACCGCTTCATGCAATGGTACAAGCCCAACTTCACCTCTAGATTTCAGGATTTCCTCTCTGAATGCTGAAATTGAGCATTGAGATAATATGTCGCTGCATGTAGATGACGATGTAACTGGACCTCCCACCAAGCATCGATGATATCCCAAATATCTCTATAATTGGCCTCTCCTCCTAAGTTATGTGCAATCAACTCCTTTGCCTCATCCTTTGCATTATATATAAAACCCATGGTTGGTTTCTTCTCAGCATCCACTAATCGTAGCACTTGTACTAAGGGTCTTATGCTCAATATGGCATAGGTCACACTTGCCCAAAATTTATCATTCAGAATTAACCTTCGTATTTATTTCCCCTCAGGTTTCTTGCCCTACGCACAATTAAGTCATTGTGTCGATGTAAAGATGGCTTCAAGAGGTTACCTAACATCCAGCATGCTCTGCAGTGTCAAATAAGATGTGGCAAACCTATAAGATAAACTTGCATTAGAAATTGAAAATGCTTTGCAGTGCACAAATGTAATAACGAACCTAGTGGTAGCATGGAAAATGATTTCCTTCTTAAAGAACTTTCTCATTAAGGCTAAGACCCATGAGTGATTGTAGATGAACTTTGTGATCTTCTTCGCCCTAAAAAGGGCGCTCCTGTGTTGAGGTAGATCACCAAGTTCCTCTAATATGATATCAATACAGTGTGCCGCGCAGGGGTCCAATAGATGTGTTTCCTCTACTCCATCAACATCTGACCAGCTGCTTTGTATGCACTACATTGTCAGTCACCACTTGAACAACCAATTGCTCCCCGATCTCTTCAACAACCCATCTAATAAATTGAAAATGAAATCAGCATTTTTAACCTCATATGAAGTTTCAATTGATTGTAAAAACATCGTAATATAGGGATAGTTTACAAGGATATTAATCATGCTCCTGCTCTTCATGTCAAACCATCCATCTGACATAATGGTAAAACCTGTCTCACTCCATATCTTTTTAATCTCATCAATACTCCGCTCTGTGTTCTGCAGCTCCTTCAAAATCCATGTCTGAAACTCGTACATGGAAGGTGTCTTCAACCATCTCATATACAACCCTACATATCATAACATATTGAAGTAGGACGGCGATGTCGCAACATTAAATGGAATGAAATTCTCAAAAAAGAATCTGCCAATATCCATGCAAACATGCCGTCGACGCTCTGGTGCCAGCCGCAGACATCATCTGTGATTTTCTACTATCCTCTCCTAGATTAATCATATACTGATCCATAGGACCCCTGGCACCTCTACTATATATAGTGGAGGAAGAGTCTTTTCCACACTCGCTCCCGTAGTAAGCACCATGTTCAACCCTTTCATCAAATTGCTCATGTTGTAAATGTTTGGCCATGGTACTCTTCTTCATGTAAGCAGTAATTTCCTCATTCACCTTATCCGGCACTTTCGCACAAGGTGCTACATTTTTATGTGAGTCAGATAAGTGTTCCTTCACGCGGGTAACTCCTCCCTTCACCACCTTATCACAAAAATTACATTTCAAATACACGTATGTCATCTCGCCACTTCCTACGTCAACCTGTGCACTGTATTTCCAAGAAGGGTCCTGCCGCAATGACGTATTTGACTTTTCCTTGCCCTTAACCATGCTTCCTAATGCACAAATACAAAAATCAAACCAAAAATCTCAAAAAAATTTAAACCCTAGATTTTTTATAACTTGAAAAATAATACCATGAATTTAAAAAAAAAAACTAAAACTGGTAGTAGAGGTGTCGTAGAGGGCAGCCGGACACAAGATGCTCACCGACATGAGGCACGCCGTAGGAGAGGCGGCGGGAATGCTGGCCGAGGGAAGCTAGGTTGCGGATATGGGCTTGCGGAGAACTCCTCCATTCGATTCGGGTAAGCCGAATGAAAGAAGTGAGGAAATAGGGTCTTTTTATTGAGAACTTAAGTGGGTGGGACCCGGCTATATGAGGCGTGCGCCTCACCCATTACTGCGCAATTGGGCCTCTAAGGTGCGCCTCATGGATCCTGAGGCGTAAGCCTCACCTAGACCCAAAATTGTTTAAGCAATGAGGCTCTTTGGGGTAAAATTGCGCAAAGGCGCGCCTCCTATTGCGCAATTTTAAACTATGTTTTAAAGTTTAAATTGTAAATTAAAAAATTTACAATTTTCTTCGAATTTGAACTCTTTTCTGCATTAATTCTCATCTACTTTGAGCACTATATTTTGTAGAGTTAAAATTTTTTTAACATTGAAATTAATATA